TGTATCAAATGATATCTTTAACATGAATATATTCTGACACAATTTCTTGTTATATTTATTTATTTTCTAAAGTTTAAATTCTGCATTCAACCTTCATAATTAGTTTCCTCTTTTTACTCTTCAACTTTTCAATATAACCTTGTTATATTATTCTTAAATACCTCTTAATTTTCTTGTTATAACATTCACTGTAATGTGATATTTCTAACTGCATCTCATCAGGAGCTAGGTGAAAATTTTAGAGAAGCATAAGAAAAACAAACATACTAATGAGGATGCAGTGATTATACAAGGGACATTTACCCACTGAGGCTTCGATTAAATTCAAAATAGGCTGAGTAAACACTTCTAATTCTTTGCAACTTTTTAAAAAAGATATTTTAATTTTTTTCAAATTTGACAGATATTTCCAACTCTAATCAAAATTTTATTTATGTTAGCATACATATAAATGGCCTATTGCTTCCTAAATGGTATCATGTTGAGCATTTGAAACACTTAAGCACAGTATTTATTTTCCTTAAGTTGTGTTAAAGTTATTATACAAAGAAAATATTAAAATGTTAACAATAAGCAAATGCATAGATAAATTCAGATTATATATCGGAGAGGAAAAAAGCTACTATGGTAGAATATATATATTCTCACTAAAGCTCTTCATCCTATGAGAAATTGTTAATTGAGGACACTAATACCTTCCTAGTATTGCACTAAATCAAGTACTATGTGTCTTGGTATCGTATTCACTCCCATATGTTGTAGTATAAAAGGAGACTTGACTGTTTTGAGCATCTTTCTTTTTTCCAGTGTACAAAATGCATGCAGGTCCTGGCATTAATAAATGGCTTTCCAACCTTGCAAAACATTCATTTCCTATTTTGTGAAGTGGACTTCTATAAATGCAATTGTTTATGGTTGTTATTATATTAGTAATAGTTGCTAAAATATACAAGAGGCCTTGTATAATATACAATGGATAAGTATTGTAGCTTTAAAAACAAACAAACAGCCCCGGCTGGTGTGGCTCAATGGATTGAGTGCCAGACTGTAACTGAACAGTTGCCGGTTTGATTCCCAGTCAGGGCGCATGCCTGAGTTTTGGGCCAGGTCCTCAGTAGGGGGCACACAAGAGGCAACCACACATTGATGTTTCTCTCCCTCACTTTCTCCCTTCTTTCCCTTCTCTCTAAAAATAAATAAATGACATTAAAAAAAGAATAGAGTAAAAAAAGAAACAATAACCACCAAAAAACAAAACAAAACAGGGTTTTCGGAGTAAAGGAAAACTGGTTTTAAATTAGTTACAACTATGTAAAGTTGGCCAAATTACTTAACTTCTTGAGCCTTACTTTCTTCATCTATAGAACAGGACTAACGATACAGATGCTTTAAAGTTCTTATAAGCTATTTTTGGCATGCCATATAAAGCCTCTAGCTCACAGATAGCAAGGCATGAACGGTCACTCATTTTTATGGTCACATGATATAAGATGATTTTTCCAGAAACCCTCTAGCTTTTCACTTCCAACATAAGATCGTTCATCCCACAGTAGCTACTTGGGAGATTCCGAATTCCATTTGCAGCATGCCAGCAAGTGAGCACAGCCTGTTTAAATCAAGGGTTCTTCATGGCAGGTAAATAGCCTGGTTCTGATTTTACTTTTTAAAATGCTGGTGATTATATTGCTGCCAATTGCACATTCTTGTTTGGAGTTGAAAGAGACAAAAGCTAGGCACAGTATGCTCTTAGAAATCTGAAGAGTCTTAGTAATATTTTAGAAAATTGAAATACAAAAGACTGAAGTCAGAAAGCCTTTCACAAATGCTTGTAAGATTCAAACTCCCTTTCATTATCAATTCTGCCAACTTGGAGTTAATTGCATTTCAGGGCACACTGCAAAATACATCTTTTCAATGTGCTTTTCCTTAATTAGTACAAATGTCTGGTCCCTGAGAAAGGTGAAAGTATAAGGCTTCTTTTGTGTTTGTTAATGTTTTCTGTTTTTAATTCAGTGTTTGCACCTACAGGCCCCTGTGAATGACACATTTTTATTGGAATCAAGAATAATATTATGTAAATTATACACTGAAACAGCAGCTATCGAATCTAACTAATTATTTTAAGGTAGCTTTAGAAGGATTTATTTTAGTTGTCAAACCAAAACAAAGGAGAAAGAATAATGCATATGCTAATGGATTTGTGCTTCTCAGTATTAGCATTTGGAGACAACACACAAATCATCTTTGCATCCCAACAAATAGGAAAATGTACTTAAATAATGGGTGTTCAATCAATGCTCTCAATAATATGGAACAATTACTGAAGCAATTATTAAATATTATACATTTAAATAGTTTATTTTATTAAATAAAATGCATAGGTTGAAATATTACATGACTGCACACCATGTGAAACATACATATGGGTATGCATTTCCTAAAAGTGTATTTTCTTTTCACAGGAAATTAGCACTCCAGTCTCATCAATATACTGGCCAGTTTGGTTTACTCTGTATCAGTGTTTTTCAGCCTCAGCACTATTGATATTTCAGACCAGGTATGTTTTTGTAGTGAGCACTATGGCTGGCCTTTACCCACAGGTGATGGTAACTGACATTCCTCCCCCAGTTGTGACAACCAAACATGCTTTCAGACATTGTCAAATGTCTCCTAGGGGAAACCTTTGCCCTCGGGTGAGAACCACTGTTCTGTGTGGAATGGGTGTTTGGGGTATGTTGGCCTCTATAGAGCAACAGTGAAAAAAGTTTGTCCCTGATCTTGATTTTCCCTCCTTTGGCCTACCCTCCTGGACCATATATGCCACTCTTCATAGCATTTTAAAAATTCACTATCCCTTATTTTGAATTGCAGGTCTTCCCATCATTGCCTTAATTATAATTGCTTGTACTTGTCTGTCCTTTCTTCTCTCCACCATTGATTTTTGCTGCCAGGATAACTTCAAACATGTCAGCACAAAACCTTTCATGGTCTCCCGGAGCTATTCTCTGCAATCTCCAGACTTTCCCTTCTCACACAGAGAACCCAAGCTCCTTTTACAGACAAAAACTGCCTTTTTTTTCTCTTTCTTTCACCTGTCTTATCCTTAACCTGGGTTTTGAGCCTCAATTGAATCTTCAGCTCATTCTCTCTAGAAGATGTTGTGCATACTTTTTCCATGCACACCTTGATATCTTTATCACCCTTATCAAATAATGCAATCTTTTAAAGTTTACCTCTCCACTGGACTTCAAGCTGCTGCTGTTGTGGGTGCATGTGTTAATTTCTTTATCATGAGGACTACTGTAAAATCTACATATGGTAAGTGGTTTAAATATTATTTTTAAAACCAAATGTACCTCCCACTTCACCTTTTTAATTAAAAATGAATCTGCTTTTTGACCCAGAGATTCTACTTCTGGGAATATATCTGAAGGAATGCAAAATACAAATTCGAAAGAACACAAGCACTCCTATGTTCATTACAGCATTGTTTACAACCTCCAATATATGAAAGCAGCCCAAGTGCCCATCAGTGGATGAGCGGATGAAACAACTATTGGACACTTACACAATCGAATACTACTTGGCTATAAAAGATAATAAAGTTTTACCCTCTGCTACAGCATGGATGGACCTGGAGAACATTATGCTAGGTGAAATGTCAGTCAGAGAAAGACAAATACCATATGATCTCATTTATATGAGGAATCTAATGAACAAACTGAAGCAAAAAGCAAAATAGACAAAGACTCATACACAGAGAACAGGGTGACAGCTAAAGGAGGGAAAACAGGTGGAGGGACTGAGCAAAAAGGAAAAAGGGCTCATGGACATGGACAACAGTGTGATAATTGCCCAGGGGACGGAGGTATAAGGTGACTAAATGAAAATGGAAAAATGCAATCATTAGAAAATAAACAGCCCTGGCTGGTGTAGCTCAGCGGATTGAGCGCGGGCCTGCAAACCAAACAACCGCAGTTCAATTCCCAGTCAGGGCACATGCCTGGGTTGCAGGCCAGTTCCCAGCAGGGGACGCACAAGAGGCAACCATACATTGATATTTCTCTCCCTCTCTTCTTCTCTTGCTCTCTAAAGATAAATAAATAAATAAATCCTTAAAAATAAATAAATAAAAGGTACATTATTATCCTTTTAATATTGAAAAGAAAGTCTTACCAATGTTTATCAAATACTTTATAACAAACTAATAGCGTGGAATATTTTTATTCTCAAAAGAGTTGTGATTGCATGACATACTAACAAAATATGTACTGAACACCTACTGACTGTGCTAAGTACTTTATTCTGTTAGCACAGTTATGCAGCATTATTTTCCTGTTTATACACTTGGAGTTTACATTCCAAGGTTGCAAGACTGTATAAGGTCACACAGCTAGTTGGTCAAGACTCCAGAGTGCCCACACTGGTCTTTCTGTCTTCAGTCTAATCTCCAAGTGCTTATTCTTGGCCGACTTGGACATGTTGACATTCTTTGAGTGACTACTAGGTGAAGGTCACTGTGCTCAGCACTTGGTGCACATTGCTTCACGCTTTCTCACAATAGCTGAGAGGTAGCGGTTCCCTGCTTTTACAGGTAAGGGTAGATGATTTACTAAAGGCACACAGCTATTGGGACAGAACCAGGAATAAGATAAGCAGTATTCCCAAACCCTCCCTGCTTGTACTGTACTTATATGTCATATCACCAAAGGACCAAAACTTCTCTACTTTGTGGTTAAATTATTTCTATAAATTTCTCCAGTTAGTTAAGTCAAATGGAAAAAAAGTAATCTGTGTGGTCATGGAGATAGCTACAGATATTCTTAATTTGACAGAAACCCATCTGCTATACTACTCAGTTAAAAAATCATCATTATAATTGAATTGAATTAATAGACGAATGACTTAGAAGTAATGTATTTTAAGTATATATTGTATATTTTAAATACTATGAAGCCATCAAAATATTTATATGTCTAAAATTTTGAGGCATACCATACCTCACTAAACTGTTAGCACTGTCGGGATCTTGTGCCAAAACTGCGCCAACCACAGTTCCAACCTTGGCATTCTCGTAGACTTCCATGATGTAGGAAGGCATGGAGAAGAGTGGTGGTTCATTCACGTCACCAACAATGATCTTTAGCATGGTAGCGTCTTTAAAAGGGCCCAGGTGAGAGAAGCGGAAATCGAGATGTGTATTTGCTCCTTCTATGTTGAGGGTGTAGGACTTCTTTTTCTCATAGTTCAGTGGCTGTGAGTGAAAAACAAAACAAAGCAGTTCCAGTGTTATGACGGCTGTCATTGTCATTTTCAAACAGCATGATTTTTCATTTTGTAAACAAGTTAATATGAATAGATATAAGTCCATCTATTTTTCCTTTAAAACCAAATTATGTAATTAGTTTATAATAATACCTAAAACAGAAATTATGGAAACTCAAGTGTAAAATCGATTGTGATTTTTACAGCCATGAAGATGATATAACTAAGTATAAAAATATTACCCACAGACAAACAAATTCTGCTTTTGGAAGAATCTCATTCTTAGTCTCTTTGAATAACTTTTTTTTATCTCCTTGCCAACCTGCATTATTAAACTTAAAAACAATTGCTATTAGTTTGTTACATTTTAAAGCTAAAGAAGAGTTTTTTGCCCTTTGCTTTTAAAGAAAACATAGCATTGATTTTTATCTATCATCATCTTATTTTTACCTTGCTTATTTTACACTTTGCATCATATTTTAAAATCTGATAAATTTTTCAAGTTTTCAATTCAGTAATATTCTCTTGGAATTTTAGGGAAAGTTTACTCACTTTTGTTTTTTAATTCTTTTTAAGTAATTTTATCCTTTACTGGTAATGCATTTATGTACTTGCTTTTTAAAATTTATTATATTTTGGTGTAATCTACTTTATTCTTGAAATTATAGTCTTTTGTCTGTTCATATTATTTTTTTAGCTTTTAGTATTTACTAGTCATATAATTTTTAGTGTGTTTTCTTTGTTAATTTTCAATATTTATTTTTTTAAAAATTTATTTAATTATTGTTCAAGTGCAGTTTTCTATCTTTTACTCCCATCCAAGCCCACCCCCCAGTGCTCCCCACCTCCCTCCCATTTCCACCCCCCTTAGTTGTTGTCCATGTATCCTTTATACAATATTTACTTTTTATTAAAATATGTATGTCAAAAGTCATAAGTTTGACTTAGCATATAATAATAAATGAGGCCAACATGACAGTTTGTCTCAAGGAATACATGGTCTGATGTAGAATTTAAAATACTAAACCAACATTTATACCACTGTGTATTTAGTGCCATAAGACTGGATACTGTGGAAATTAATAACAAGGATACAAACCTAGGTGCATGTAAGCAGCTGGGTAATGTTTTTAAGAGGAAGTACCTTGGAGATGAGAATTGAATGTTTAGAAAGTGTTAAATATGATGCACATAATAGGCTCTGTGACCTCAACTGAGCTCAGATTTATGAGCTTAGAAAATTGAGCTCAATGTCAAAAGTCTCCATGGTGATGTTAGCGAGGGTGATCTGGAGACCAGCCTTTTAATTTCCACCCGATGAAGTATACACTGATGCTGAACTGCCTTATTAATATCAGTGAGAAGAAGCAGAGATATTTTAAAATCCTTATTTCTGCCACTGATTTTGCAAGAACTTGCTTGGATCCTGAAACTTTTTCTCTTGGCAATATCAGAGAGTTATTATTCCCTGCGGAGGAACTCAGATATTTTTCTTTACTCAAAGGCCAAGGAGAAGCTGATTTAAAAAAGTATCCTTACGGAATTTTGTAAATAGATAGATCAGTCTTAATGACGTTTATTTTCCTTACCTCTTCTGAATTGCCTTGGATAATTGGCCTTCCCAGAGAGTGGTGATTGCATAGAAGGAAAAATAATTGTTTAATTTTCAAGCTCTATATTAAGAATCTTAAACCTAGACAACTTCTCAAGTCACAGAGATATGGATGAGACTGAGTCACTATAATATTTTACAAGTTTTTATAGAACAAAATAAAATGTTTAAATATCTTGACAACTTAAATTCTCTAATGTGGTTCATATATACAATATATATGCATTTACATATGATAAACATATATTTAGGTGTATATATTTTAAAGAAATGTTCATTGATTCTATAGTTTGTCACTCACCAATTGGGAGCTATTTTCTGCTGCGGGAATTTGAACTAGAAATGAATTGCCAAAGTAAAGATCAACCATCTTGTTTGGGAGTTGCATTATCACTAGTTGGACTCACAGCTTGCATTTCTTTTTGTTTTTCTTGACTCCTCTCTCTCTATTAGTGAATGAGACTTTTTCTTTGTTCAATTCCATAACTTTTATCCACATTTAAATAGCCTCACCTATCAATGGTGTAAACTTGCTGCCTACCAGGAATTGGGTGGGTGGCTGTGGTCCTTCTTGGCTCAGAGGAGCCTGGATAGTCACCATCTGGGCTTGTCACTCTTGGAAGGCAACATCCTTGGTGAGTTTGCCATTTGCTTAAGATTTATAGAGTCAATGTGCTGCATCTGTTAGACCTTATAATGACTAAGGTTCTCTCTCAACATGAGTGTTTTGAGACCATAAAGCTAAAATAATAGGATTGATTTATTTCACTAGAGATGGTTAACATTCCTTTCTCATGATAACAGAATTTAAAAACATGCATCACCACTTAGTCACTGGTGTTGGCATTCATAATTTGTAATTCTCGGTGAAATTGTGGAGGTACTTTTGGCCACTTCTGTGCCATCGCACAGTATTATTAAGCTCTGTATCCAACTTAACAGCATCGCTTTTTCTGTTTTTTTGAGCAGATCCCTCTGCAAGTTAGATGTCATTTGCCTTTACACTAACCTACCTACTGCTAAGAAGCAAGCTGTTAATATGGACACATAATTTTATGTTTATGATTATCTGATATATATTTAACTATGTTGAGATAGGAATAATCATTTTGCAGAACTTGTTTGCCAGGACTGGCAGATGTATGGATGAAGACCCATCTGGAGACGTCAAGGAATAAGAGGATTATTTCAGGTGGAGAAAGAAGTATAGAAGCAGGAAAATTAATGCACATGGAAATATTTTAACAACCTCCTTTCTGAAAAAAAAAAAAAAAAAGCAGTCCTGAGCTGCAAGTTTAGAAAAAGTGAGAAGGAACTGTATCCATTTATTTATTTTTAGTGATTGTAGGTTTAGATATACAATATAAAGTATGTTGATTGTTTTGTACTATAACTATAATAGTGTTTGTATTAGGAGTATAATTATTTTTATATTACTCTAAGTCTATTTTATATTTTATATTTCCCATTACTTACTGTATAAATTTTGCCTGACCAAGATATTTGGTGTATGGATAGGAGTTGATAGCATGAATATATTTTTTTCTGTTTAACAACATTTCAGAACTATGACACATTTCTTTTCTTTGAAAACTGCAACCCTGTACCATGAATTCCAGCCCTAACGCTTTCAGAGACTATAGTGATGTGACCACAGACCAAGGAATGCTTGGGGTCATCAGAAACTGGAAGAAGCAAGGAATCTATTGTCCCCTGGAGTTTATGGAGAGAATGCATCCTAGCCAACAGGCTGATTTCAAACTCCTGGCCTTCGGAACTCTGAGATCACGTTTTAAGCCACTCAGTTTGTTGTCATTTATTACAGGAGCCCTAGAAATGAATAGATATTTCTTTGCTTCATATAAAAACACAGTGAAATTTTTTTATTGTGCTGAAAGATTTAAATAGCATGGGAATAGTGCTGTTAAATCTTAAGGTTTGATAAAATTTCCTTTGTTTATCATTGAATCTAACGTATCTGGAGAGGTAGTTCTGGTTTCTCATTTTCTTATATAAAAACTGTTTATAGGTATTTTCTATTTCTTTGAAGTTGCTTTCTAGAAACTTTGACAAAAATATACTCTACCTGAAATTTATTTGTATAGAATTAAGAAAAATATTCTTATACTTTCCATTTTTCTAGCTATTTATTTCCTATTATTCCTTCCACATTTCTTAACAAGATTAAAACTTATTTATTGTTTTATTATTAATTGTATAGCTTTCTTTCTAAAACCTCAGGTTTTTATATTTGATATCATATTTCTGATAGCTTTTTTTGTCTTTTCTCTTTTTCTTTTCTCTCTTCTCTTTTTATTTCTTTAATATTTTAGTGCTATATTTATTATTTTGTTTTCTATCTCTAATATATTTAAGATTATGAATATACTTTCAGAAGTACTTATTTTGCATCTCGTAATTTTCATATATATCTTTTATTTTTTCTAGAAATTCTGCAATTTTGTTGCACATTTATCTTTTAGTTTTCGTGATATTAAAGAAAAGATTGCTGTTGCAGTTGCTAAGTTTCCAAGTTGAGGGAATTTTTGTTTTGTTTTCTGGGTGAGTTTTAGTAATTTGTAGTCATGTTGCATTTGGAAGACAAGATTTTGTTTGTACTACTTTGGATTCTGGGTATTTATTGACATGCTCTCTGAAAACTATACATGCTTAATGTTGTTAAATGTTCCAAGGGCACTTGAAATAAAATATATGTATCTTCAGGAGGTTATTAATACATATAACCTCCCTACTAATTGCCATTGAATTATTTTAATTTTTAAAATATTTTATTTGTCATGGATTGAAATAACCATAATACTTGTCTGGTCTATAATTCATGCCTTGCATATATTGTAATACAACATTAGTATTTACAGCGTGGTAAATATAGTGGTATTTATTGTTGTATTACATTTGTATATTGTTTTGCAAATGCTGTTGCTATCTTAACATTCTGCATATATATTTACCATTTTTGTTAACATATTGTGAATTGTAAGGTTTCTCTTGTCTTTGTATAATTTTGGTTTAGATTCCATCATGGTAGGCATTAATGTCACAAGTCTTAATTTCCTTTTTGTTTATGTTGTGATTCTTTTATTTTAATCTTGTTGTTGTTGTGTTTTAGGTGTTTCTGGTTTTGTGTTGCTATCATTTCCCTTTACTACCCACAGCTATTTTGGTTTGATGATATATTAACTAAGGCAATGTTTCCACATATTTAATGTTCAAAGTTGCTTGCATGTAATCTCTGTTCTTGAAGGACAATATGTCAATTGTTGAATATAAAGCCCTTAATTCACATTTATTTTATTGACTATCTGCTACATACTGCTCTATGCATGCCAAAAAATACCTCCCACACAAAGATTTCC